AATGAGTATCGGCAAGAGTCTATCTAAGCTAAACAAGTATTCCATAACAGATTCAGTAGAGAGAGCGGTAACAGTTAACACCATAAAACACACATACTGTACCATTGACAGCCTTAACACCAATACCAAATTCAAGAATCTAGATTGGGCCTCACATTTAAACTTCGCAATGTAATTTTCCTCTAGCAATATAAAACTCCAATGACAGATCTACTTTACCGTTAGTGTAAACAACATGTCAAGTCCCCGCTTTATAGGCATGCTTCAATCAATTCTAACACGGGTACAAAGAACATAAACCTTGACTCAAGCTATGTAATCTTTGCACCATATATCAAGTCATATAGTTGTAAATCTACATCTTGAATGGATCAACACACAGAGCAAAAACACACAGTTCCAACCAAAAGGTTCCAACTTCAACAACGAAGTCAAGAAAAAAAACTTTAAAAACATTGGGATATCTCCAATCACAACGAAGGTCCAAGTGAGCCGATTCCATATCCCAATTCCAAATCATTACACTAATTCATCCACAACTTAGTTATCCAACTCTGATAACAAATCAACCGAACCAAGTACAAACACGGGCAGGATCTACTCCCCCCAATGACAGAGTGTTCAAGGCATAGTAGTAACAACTAACAACCTAAAGATCCCAGATTTGAATCTCAATTACAACACTCAGTTACTCAATGTAAGCTATAAGCACACAAACTGACAAAGACACCATCACCTCATGTTAAAAAATTGAACTTTAAGCTTTAACTCAACCCAAAAGTTAACTTACGACGAAACAACAATAATATTCCAACACCTCACCAAAATAAATAAGCGGATCTGCATGCTGGCTAGTACAAACTAACCAAAAAAATTACAAATTGCAACTCGTACAGTCAATTATATATACACACAAGGTCAACGTGTATAGTCAATTACATAAAATTTAATGAAATATATATAAATTTTGGATCTATAACAAAACCCTAGCTTCCTCGCTATACACATCCTACCACTCCGGAGAAAAATTACACTATATATACATTACTAAAATTATTATTTAAACATACATAGTACATATTGAACCCCCTTTTGGTTCTTCGTGTGTTTACACTACATATTTTGAACCGCTTAGTGAAAAAAACCAAAAACAGAGCAGATCTGAAGATGAAAAAAGAAGAACTTACTCTTGATAAGCGGAGAGAACGAAGACGGATACGAAGAAAACTCTTCCAATGAATGATAGGGCCGCCATTACAATGTAAATGGGGATTCAAATTTCTCTATCTTTTTGCCTTTCTCTCTCTAGAAAAAGAGAAAACAGAGACGAGTTCAAACAGAGAGAGAAAAAACAGGGATCTTGTTGGTCTTTGTTTTCCTTTAATTTATAGGTAGTAAAATTAGAGATAGGGGAAATTGTTCTTTGGTCCCCTTAGTATTGGGGAACTCAACTTTGGTATTGAGTTTTTTTTTTTTGATCGGTTTAGTTCGTATTTATTTTGAAATTTGATTAATTTGAATAATATTTATTAAAGGTAATTTATTTTCAGAGTTGATAAAAAGTAGGAGTATCAATTACAACCTAACATATTTAATTTTAATTCTCGTCATTTTTTTGAAGATTTTTTAACTACTTAATTTTTGAATTTCACACTTAATATTTTTTTTCATGATTTATGAGTATCTTAGTAATATTATTATTACTATACTTAGTAATATATAAATGAATTGTTTGAGCTTTATATTTATAAGAAAAGAAAATGAAGTAATTACAAGGCTTTTAAGAAATTGTGTAAATTGCATGTTTAAGCGAAGTTATGACTTGTGAGTTGTCTATTTAATTGCAAATCTAGCAATCACTTTGGAGCTTGCAAGGGTCGAGATTCAAGAGGTTTATTCAAACTTTCTTTAATGAAAAACTATATCTAAACTTGATTTAAAAAAATATATATATAAATAGTAGATCTTGAATTTTCTTTAACCGTTTTATGTGTTTATTTTTCTAGATGCTATTTCTTTTAGTTTTGCACCTGATGTTCGAATTTATATTAGATCCCAATTAAATTTAAATTTACATTAAAAATTTCATATTAACAAATATAATGTTTTCTAACAAAAACGTCTCCTTTTTCAAAAGTTAATTATAAGTTGCATGCTTGGTTACAACACTTTTCATGAAACTACTTACAATCTAATTACTTCAGTAACTTGCTAAATTTCTCGAAAATATTTTTCTCCGAACGCACCTTGAATCACAACTCTTCTCAAAAATGCCCACTTACCTTTTCTTTTTTTCTCTATTGACGGCTTATTTTTATATTATATACTATTAAAATTTCCTCCATACCTGTTATGAATTTCTCTGTGCAGACGGCAAACGCTCGCGAGTAAGATAAAAATAGACTCGCTTTGTGGTTTGGCCATCTGTTGAAATGTACGGTCGATTGAAGGAGACACGTTTCATAACCATAGCATTGGGTTTAATGATGAGTTTCTTGTTGAACTCCTTTGTAACTTTTGTTTCTTTCATTTTGGTCCCAGTATATTACTCCCACTAATTGTTGATTCAATTGTAATAACTATAGAGGTATTAAATTGTTAAGTTTTTTATATATTATAAAAGTTTGAGAGAATGTGGTGAAGTTGGAAAAAAATTATTCTGATCGAGGTACAAGTAGTGTTAGAGCTCGTTTGGATTGACTTAAAAGTTGGTCAAATCTATTTTTAAGTTAGTTTTTACTTCTGAAGTGTTTGGCCAAATAACTTAAAATAAGTTATGAAATGTTTGACAAGGTAAAAAATGACTTAAAATAAGTTAGAAATCAAAAATAAATATCCCCTACTTTTTATTTTTTGACTTAAAAATCATTTCAATTTAACTTTTTTATTTTTTACTTAAAAGCTTTTTTTTTTAAGTCAATCCAAAACGGGCTCTTAGTTGTTTGAGGCTTATTTTGGCTGCCAAAAGGTATTTATTATTTGATTTTTTATTTTGCATTCAATATCTACATTAAAATTCAATTATTTTAAATTTGTATTGTATAGAACTTTGTTCAGAGAGATCAAGAATTTTTCATACTCAAAGCTTGAACTCGAAATCTCTAGTTAAACGAGAAGCAACATCATCCTCTGTTCCATCATTTATTTGAGGAAAAATCAAAATGAATGTGTCAAAAAATTAATTTTTTGGATGAGTTTTAAGAAATTGAAGAAAGTGGATGAGTTATAATTACACACACATATATATATATATATATATATATATATATATATTAAAAATAATGATAATATAACAAGTTTTGAATATGAAAATTTTTTGATAGACAGTATATCTTTGCGAACAAAGCCTACACAACACAAATATGAAATAATCGAATTTTAATATAAATATCGAATGTAAATAAAAAATTAAAAAATAAATATTATACAAAAATAAAATTATTATTTTAAGAGTTAACAAGTAAAAAAAAAAATGCAAGAAACAGTTGTGAGGTAAAAGTAAAAGTAGAAAAAAAGGTTAAAATGGATGAGAAAAGGAAATGAAAGGGAAGTGAATGTGGGTCTTAATGTATATTTGGCAGCCAAATAAGCCATCATACAACTGACACTAGGTGTACCTCGTCCATGATAAAAAAATTCGGTGAAGTTGAGAGTGAGAAAGAATGTTTTTATTTTAGAGAATCAATTTTGATTCATGTCAGGACGATCAACTGCAAAAGTCATTCATCTTGTGAAGAGCCTGATGGACAAGTATTCAAAAAAATAAGAGGAATTTATACATGGTGTTCATTGACCTTGAGAAGGCATATGATAAAGTCTTGAGGGAAGTCTAGTAGTGATGTCTGAAGGCAAGAGATGTATTGGTGGCTTACATTAGAGCGATAAAGAACATGTACAAGAAAGGTAAGATGTGGGTAAAAACAGTGAGCGGAGATTCTAGAGCACTTCCATGTGGAGATGGAATTACACTAAGGATCGACTTTTAGTTTGTTTCTATTTGCCTTTGTGATGAATGTTTTAACGCTAGACATTTAAGATGAAATATCATGGTGTATGTTAATTATGGACGACATAGTATTGATTGATGAGATGCGCAATGTAGTTAGTGTTGAGTTAGAGGTGAAGAGACAAACTTTAGAGGCTAAAAGATTCATGTTGAGCCGGATCAAGATAGAATATGTGGAGTAAACATTTAATAATGTGATGCATGGGATAGGCGTGGAAGTGAGGCTTGACACACAAAGTATCCCCAAGAGAGATAGATTTAAGTATCTTGGACCTATAATTCAAGGGAATGGAGATATGACATTTAATAATAGTGTTATTTTGCTTAGGGTGATTGGTGTTTGTGATGGTACTAGTTGTATTATTATAGTTTTTTTTTTATCATTATTATTTTTAACTTTTTACTAATCTACCCTAGTATGTTGTTATGGAGTTTCGATTGTCACATGTTTTATTGTTGTTTTGACTCTTCTTTTGTAGATTTTGTATTGTTTTTTTGTTATTTGTTATATTCTCTTCATTATCTCTTTCATCTTTATACCGGAATTTATTGCAATTGAGCTGAGGGTCTTTTGGAACAGCCTTTTTATCTCAATGAAATAGTGATAAGATGTAGACGTACATTCTACCTTCCTTAGATCTCACTCGTTGAATGAATATGTTATTGTTGCTTTCAAAATTCAAGAAAATTGTCAACTTTATTTTTATGTTTCACTCTTTTTAAAAATAAGATTCTTAACTATTTTTATTTTTTAGGAGAAAAGTTTCAGAAAAATCCAAAAAGAGTACTAATAATAAAAAGTAAGTTTTCAATTTAGGCCGTTAAATAATTTTCTTAAGAAATATTAATCATGAATTAACTAACAAGGAACCTCAACTAAGCTAATTTAAGTTGAGTCAAATTAATTTGTACAGAAATTGAGTATCGGGTCAAATTCCAAACAGTATATAAGCTAACCCCCTTCTTCATCAGTACCGTTTTCTGCTCCCTCAAGCTTTTAGCCATGGTGCTCATCTTCACCATTGCTATACACACTTCACTCTTCTATATTCTTCTTCTCAATCTAACAATTTTTGTTTCTATACACAGGATTACCCTAAAACAGCAGTTCCTACTAACATCTTCACTGAACGCGGGTCCAATATCGTCGTCATCAATCCAGGTACTAAACCCTAACTTCTCTCAATTTCCAGTTTTTTTTTTTTTTTTCTGTTAGCTAATTAAGTAAAATACTTCACTGTAATTTAGGTTCCGCAAATATTAGAATAGGATTGGCTCAACATGACACTCCATTCAATATACCTCATTGCATTTCCCGTCGCACTAGTCAGTTACAGAAACGAAATGCTCAAGATCAAGTAAGGCTATTTTGTGAATTTTTGTAGTTAAGTATGCAGTTTTTTGTGATTTTTCGCAAAATTTAGTTTTGAAGTTTTAAGTCATCTTTAGTTTGTTGATCATATTGCAAGGGTGTATTTTTATGTGTTTTGATGATATCCTTTTTTTTGGTGGATTAGATGCTGAATTCTCAGGTTACAACTGCACAGCATATGGAACGGGAAAGAGCGTATGACATTGTAAGTACAATGAAATATAGTAAACAAATGTTTAAATTATATATTTGAGCTTGAAAAAAAATATGTTTAATCATATAAGCACAAATATGAAACTTTATAGGTCGATGACATGAATATTTTGTAATATATTTTCAATGTTTCACTTTTTTTTTTATCAGGTTGCGTCGCTATTGAGAATTCCATTTTTGGATGAGGAGGTAGCTAACAATTCTTATCCACGCAAGGTACCAGGGAGAATTCTCTATGCTTTTTAAAGTATAATATGAATTTTTTTTTCTTGGATTCTGCAAGATTTCCATGTAAATGTGTGGTAAGGAGTGGTTATTGGAGGTTTTGAAGCTAGATTTTATCAGGAAGATTTTAATGGAATCGAAACTAGTTGAATTACAAAGTATCTATAGTCATGCTTTCTGGAATACCTCTATCGACAAGCTTTTGTGTTTATCTGCGCAGATGGGGCGTGTAGACGCATATCCTCCGCAAAATAACATGAAAGAGCCCGTGTTCACTTGGACTGATGTTTTCGAGAAAAGTGTCCCTCATTCTTCAACAACAGGTAAGAACTGTAACCTGTTCATTCTTTGAATGAAGCATTTATTCGTTCAGGTTTGGCTGTTGCATTGTCAATGCTGAAAGTTATAGATGGTGTATAGTTTTCTTGTAAACCAGTTATATGTACAGATACACAATATTTTGTATGGAGTTTGAATACTCTTTTAGTCTACTACTCATTCTTCTTTGTCCGCAAGTGATGTCCTAGCCAGTTAGTTGATTGGCAAGTAGCCCTATGTTCCAGCTGGCATGACTATATTTTCTGCTATTAATGCCTAAAGCAGCCGAATGGTTCCCCATCTATAATTCTACTAGTGCTTCTGTGGGTGGTCTAATTCATATTTTCTGGGAGATCTTTATGCGTTTAGATATCATCTGATGTTCCCATGTCAAGCTTCTCAAATGGCCAATGAGCATTATGACAAGGATATTATACTGCAACTCTTCCATACTTGATGACCCAATCTTAAATTTTGGACTTGGAAATATTTTTCTCTCAAAATTTTTGTTTTGAATATTAAGAACTCTTTGGTTATATCTCTACTGGAAATTCAGCTTCTACCTATTGTGCATATAAAAGATTTTAAGGCTTGTACACCATGAGAATACTACTCAATTGATCAGAACATCCATGTCGGAGAGATGATATTTTCTGATTGGCTTAGCTTTTGTTTGATTTTCAATAGGAGCTGGTACAAGAACATGCTTAGTTTGTTTATTCTGTTATTTACACCTTTATTTCAAGAATGAGTAAGTATGTTTTGCAATAGCAGAAGAAGATGTACCCAACGAGGGCGATACCAGCGAGTCGCCCACTCTGAAGGAAAGCAAGATTAAGGTTGAACCTAATTCCAGTGAACGTAAATATAGAGAGTACATATGTGGAGAGGAAGCTTTAAGAATACCCCCAACTGAACCATATTGCTTGCGGCGTCCTATACGCCGAGGTCATCTGAATGTATCTCAATATTACCCGACGCAGCAGGTAACATCTTCTTTCAAGATTTCTTTAGATGCATGGAAAATTTGATGTGCATCTGCTTCTTCCAGTTGTGACTCACAAATTAGTAACTTTACTTTTAAGTTTCAAAAAAAAATTAGTAACTTTACTTTTGAAATCAATGTTGGATTTCCCTTTCCAATTTTTTCATTGAGCATTGGCATGATTTTCTGAGAACTTTTCTGTTGGTTTTTCGAAAGGTGTATAAATGTAACTTCTTTCAGATTAACTAGAGGTCCAGTGACCATTATTTTAATATAATACTTGGGGAATTTTAGGTTCTCGAAGACCTGCATACTATATGGGAGTGGATTTTGGTTGAGAAATTGCATATTCCTCATCATGAGAGAAACATGTATTCTGCAATCCTTGTTATTCCAGAGACATTTGACAATCGTGGTATATATACTCTATTTTTTCCTTTTCATTTTTTCTGTGTCTGAAACCAGAACTCTGGTAAATTTATCTTTAGGCTAGAATCTTGTTATTTTTGGTCAAATCTGCAATTTTGAAATAAATATTATAAGGTGCATACACCACTAGATCTTGGAATTTAGCTGCTCATAGTCTAGCTAGCTTCGCTAATTCACATCTGCATAAGGTCTCTTATGTGTTTCTCTGAGTTGGTTTGTAAAAATGCCATAGTGTCATCCATGGGACACCTGTTTTCATTGATGAAGTAATGTGAAGTTTCAGTGTTCTAGAGAAAATAAATACTCCACTAATTGGACTATCAAGAGAGAGATATGTGTGTGTGACAGTGGGAATCCCCAGCTGCTCCAGCCTTGGTGGGCAGGTTACCAACATTTGTGCTTGTGTGCTGTAGTAGGTGGACTAGCTCAGAGTTGTGCAAATTGGCCCGGACACCACTATCATTTTTAAAAAATTGTGATAGTGTGTTCTCTTACATATGTGCTGTCCTGCAGACTGAAATGAGGAAAATCAATTTAATTGGCAATAGATTGAGATGAATCCAAAGAGCTGTTCTGGTCTCGTTTCCACTGATTTTGGGAATGGGGAAGGTAAGGCAAAAGAGAGCAGAAGTATAAGAAGTGGGTAAATTGAAGAGGAAAGGGAAATTAAAATTTGTAGGCCCAAAAGGAAATTATATCCCCATGTTCCCTCCTCTTCCTACTGCTAACACCAAATGACGAAATGGAAAGATCAGTACTTTTCCTCTGCCTTTTCCTTATCTTGACTAGTTTTCCAAGCATTAAAGTTTTCGTTGCCTCTCCAAATGCTGAAGATAGTTACCCATCATAAAATGGTTTCTCGGAAAATTTCTCAACTCATCCATTACGTGGATTTGAAATTAGGAAAATCGGAATTCAGAGCAAGAACTTTGAAAGAGGGTCTTGTTGTCCATGGAGAAGCCCAACAGTTTGGTGAAGAGGAAATTTCCCTATGGTTTCCTCAGATTGTCATTTTAATTTCTTTGGTAGGATGTACTGAAAACAACCTCTCTACCGCATAAAGGTAAGGGTAAAATCCACGTACATCCTAACCTGCCCAAACCCCACTTGTGGGATTACATTGGGTATGTTGTTGTTGTTAATGTCTAAGGGATTGCTGGTAAGTGACTAATCTTCGGATTAGGAATGGAAAACGGACGGATTGAATCGGATATGGACAAGTCGAAAACGAGTTAAACAAAAATGGATAAAATACCTGACCAGTCATATTTAACACAAATAAAAAATAGGTTGCTCACTGGATAATATGGACATCCGTATTGTCCATATTATCGTTGTGGAAGCCCCCAAGGCCTAGCTCAAGTGGCAAAAGGTGGAGGATTTGTGGCTTACGTCACAGGTTCAAGCCCCACACCATGCAAAGCGAAGCCTGGTATTTAAGTGGAGAAGGGTAGAGGGGCGGGCCCATTATCCACTGAGTTTAGAAGGCTGTGATTGGTCCAAAGGGCGGGTCACAGACAAATTTCTCGGTTATCAAAAAAAATAAAAAAACATTATCATTGTGGAATATGGTGGGTCTAAATTACCCAACCAAAGCTGATCAAAATTATCATTATCATAGTATCAAGACAATACCTACTATATCATAGAACCAAGAGAGCTCATTTTACTAGTTTTATGTACTGTGTGGCTACTCTACCGCATTATTTTGTTGGGGAACCAAGAGAATATCAACTATTCCCTTTGAACAATCCAACAATATTAATATGCTTATAGTTCAGTTATTATGTCAAACCACATTCACAAATTTCCAAGGAAATGAATTTAGCAAGACATTGTGTTTCCTGGCAAATAAATGCTAAACAATATTTATAACCTGCTTTTTTCCTTTCTTTCTAAATTCTAGGAAATAACATAATACTATATGACCGTAGCCTATGTTAAAAAAAAAGTATATGCTGTGGCCTGTAGTTTTTATCTATTTTGCCCATTAAATTACCATACTTTAAGTGGATAATATGGGTTGACTCATATTTACTCTTTTTTAAAAAAAACATCAGGTATCCAACCCATTTAAAATGGGTTGGGTTGGATGGATAACCATAGATATTACCCATTTTGCCATCCCTACTTCGGATAGATGAACCCAGATTGGACTGTAACAGTGATAGAACATTTTAAAAAGATTTTAGTTTCATCAGATCGAATAGGAAGAAGAACAAAACATTAATTTCATGTCAGTCTCTATGCTAACTTGCCAGTGCTGGTGGGTGACATAGAAGTTCTGTATTTTACTTTCTTTGCCTGGAAATTCTTTCAAATTTCACCACCTTCATTGACTCGTTAATCAAACCATCCATTATCCTCATAGTACTTCATCACAAGGAATTTAGTGGCCAAACTGGTCATTGGATCTTTTATGTTTTATTCTCTTGTTTTGTGTCCATTTCCTGAGAGTGCTTTTTCTTTCATAAAAGCTTACAGGAGGCTTCATAGTCCATGCACAAACAAGGTAAAAGAGTTTTCTAAGACTGGAGACGTGGTCAGTGAGGATTCATATAGCCGAATCCAACTTGTTTGGGATTTACACATAGTTGTTGTCGATGTTATTGTATGTGATTGTGACTTTACCATATGATCACCCCTTTCTGTCGTTGATATAGCACTTTTTGTTCCTTATAGAAAATGTAACACTACTTGTTGTTTTTGCAAAGCAGAAATCAAGGAAATGCTATCTATTGTGTTGCGTGACTTACGCTTTGGTTCAGCAGTAGTCCACCAGGTGATATTATGTTGCTGAACTTTTTAGGCATTATTAAGTGATTATATGCACACAAGTTGCACCTAAACCTTCATTCTTATTAACCTGTTCATAAAATTTTCCAACTACCGACATACATGACAGCATGAACTTTGAAATATATAGATTGCTTCATTCTATTTTTATGAAGATCTGATAATTGCTTGCCCCATGTTTCTAATCAACAATAATACCAATAAAACTTGTGTGTATGGTATGTATTTGTTAAGCAGTGCCATTTAGAGCTATAATCATAGAAGACCTTACATATTACTACCCTCATTGCAAGTTTCTTGATAGACTTGCTGCACTTTCTAAAAGGGGATCACGTTTAGTTTTCTAGAAATTTTAAGCTACTTCTTGAAAGTTGGTTTTAGGCTTTTTGATGTAGATCAAAGTTGATACATTTCATTTTCATTTACTTAAGGAAAATAGGAAGATATATCTTGTACACCATTACGTTTAGCAATAATTTGCCCAACGATGGGCCCACTTTCTTTCTTATGGAGCACCTACTTCTTGATGAAATGAAAAAAGAAGGGTCAGAATATATTAGAAACACTTATTTATTTGAAGTTGGGCATAGTTGGAGGAGGTTTGGGATGGTGTACTATTTAAATTAATAATTCTGCTCCCAAAAATCCTATGTTTAGGGTGTCTCATCAATGTTTTGTTTTCCGCTTCCTAGTTGGCTCTTATGATAATCCAAGATCTAAATTATTTACTCCCCTCGGTTCCAGTTCCTGTGACAATTTTTACTTCGTTTAAAAAAAACCCGAGAGTTTTCTAAGTTAGGAAATATTAACACAAACCTTCTATTTTATCCTTAATGACAAACTTTTATAGTGACACAAATGTTATGGCATGTTTAATGCTACAAGCTTTAAAAGTCTCCCTTCCTTTCTTGATCTTTGTGCCATTAGTTACCTTAGGAGGGCTAAGGAAGAAACATTCAGGATGTTAAGAAGTTTGCTGAAATAGGAAAACTTTACTCTTGAATATGCAATTGCCTGTTCTTGGAAATGCAGATGACTGAAAACAACTAACTGGAAGTGCTAACTGTACCATGTAATCAAACAGTAGGGATGAAAATGTGTGAAATCCTCTTTGTTACTCATGTTCTGTTTAAATTGGTTAAACCAGGAAGGTCTTGCTGCAGTTTTTGGAAATGGTTTATCAACAGCATGCATTGTCAACATAGGAGCTCAAGTGACATCTGTTATCTGTGTTGAGGTATGGTGGCTTTATTTCTACCTTCTATATGGTTGGAAAGTTACAATTAAGCCCCTTTTCTGTTACAGCTTTGTTTATAGCACTCCAGCATTAGAAATGGGATCCGGGATAAGGATTCTGGTAACTTTGATACTGGCATACTGCAAGGGTTTTTCCTTGTGTGTTGCGGAAGTGGGTGGTGGTTATAACTGGACATGAATCATGATAACGTTCCGAAAATAATTCATGTTACTAAGGCATCACTCTTCACAGACTCACAGTAATGGTATCTTTCCTCTTTATTTCTTAAATAGATTTTCCGAACGGCTCTCGCCACCTATTATGACAGGCCATGAATCATGATTAGTACATCCAGTACCATCAGTGCTATTGATGCACACCCAAGTATAACAAAATTTCTCATTACCCATAGTCTCAATACTAGGTTAAAATTATACAAGAAAATTGGGATTCTGAGAGTGCTATTCTATCATTGGCGTGACATCTTTCATTGTCATTACTTCAATGTGATTACTGCTTCAGCATGAATCCTGTGTCTTAACTCTTAAGCAAGAATATCAGGGCAACTGCCCCTTGGTCTCCCCAATTGCTCTGTCAATGCCTTGTTATCTATGTAGATAACCTACAGTCTATACATCTGCTGTTACATAAATCTGGAAGCAGAGAGAATTCTGTGATATTCTTATGCTTTTTAACAAGAACATCTGAAAATTGCTATTTGACCTTTATGCTGTTCCTCCATGTGTTCATATGCTAATGGTTGATGCTATTGTACAGGATGGAGTGGTTCTACCCACAACACAGATATCTTTACGGTTTGGTGGAGAGGTGAGCATTCAGTAAAAAGTATGGATTTTACTTTGCAGAGTGAAAAAGTCGAGAAGCTCAATTTTTTTTTTCTTTTTATTTTTTTATGCTTTGCTTATACTAGAAGTTATTTTCATTTTTATTTCTTGGAGATGCCATCTGAGTTTCTTTTTTAAGTAGGGTGAGACATATAATAAACTGGGAACTTGTTTAATCGGATGTTTCTATTGAATAGTTTTGCTATCAATAGGCTGCTTATGCTTGACAACTGAAGTGGGATTTGCATAGAGAAACTGAAATGTCTTATCCTTGTTCAATTAGTCAATCACTTATGCCTTAATGCCAACTAATTAGTTCCGACTTTATGAATCCCTTATATCCATTCCTCTCTCTTTAGACCTTTCTATTCTGTGAGAAATATATGAGAAGAATATTATTGAATTGTTGTGTTATGTCTACATTATTAAATTGAGACCCTATTTATAGACCCTAGAATACAATCCTTTACCAAGTAGGATACTATTTAGTATTCCTATTTCTATTTCTATTCCTATTCCTATTCTAATAGGATTGTATAAACCTATTCCTATTCATATAGGATTGTATAAACCTATTCCTATTCTAATAGGATTGTATAAACCTATTCATATTCAAACACTCCCCCTCAAGCTAGTGCATACAATTCATGTACCTAGCTTGTTACAAATGTAATTAACACGAGGACCGATGAGGGGCTTGGTGAGATATCTGCAAGTTGATCACTCGACTTCACAAAATTGACAATAAATTTCAATGTGCTTGATCTTCTCATGAAATACTGAATTTGATGCATAATGCCGATAAAACACAGAGTGATAAAATTACAGTGTTGGAACTTCCCAAACCAAGCTTGCAAAGACTATTTTAGACCATAGAGTGACTTACTTAATCAACATACAAAGCTACTAAACTCCCCCTGAGCAACAACATTAGGTGGTTGCTCCATATAGACTTCTTCACAATGCAGCGAACATTGTAAGTGCTCAAAATCTAGTATAAAGTACATGGTTCGTGTTGGAATCAATAGACAGTCGATATTAAACAAGTCACCGAAAAAACTGGCCAGAACATGCTCATATACCGGAGTATTAGATTTGATGGCTAAAGGTAGTCACAATCTAAGAAATAAAATTATATGGGTAGGGTTAGAATGATGTCACAACCCAACTAGAAAATAGAAATAATATAGGATAGTTCGAATTGATGGAATGACCCTATTGAAAAAGAGAAATAATATGGGTAGGGTTGGAATGATGGCACAACCCTACGCAAATCAGATTTGAGGAGTCACCGGAAAGACGAATGGAACTATGCAAATCAAATCTGAGAAGTCACTGAAAAGACACATGATGCTATGTCCAAACTAAATTACTTTTCTTGTAAGGCAAATTAAGGGTTCTCAAACCTAGAAATTCGCTAAATCTCACACTTACTGTTTGATATAAATGTAGCAACAACAACGAAAGAATCTCAACTGATTTTTCTCTAAATTTCACTTTGTTAGGTATTTTTCTATCGCATAATTGCACCCCTACTAATCTTCCTTTTCAACCATCTCATTGTAATTCTGTGTTACATTGTTATTTATCATGCCATTCTCACAGAATATTGAGTCTGGATATCTGAATTATTTGCATTTGAGTATCACAGTCTCGTCTGATCTCACTTCACCTTCAGTGTTATTATAAGGTTTAAAAATGCAACGCATTGTATTTTGTCTATTTCTACATATTCTAAATCTTTTAGTCTCCAAATTGCTTCTCCATAGTTGATAGTTCCAAATTTTGGTTGGCTGCTTTGAAAGTTTCATCTATTAATACAATATCATCTGCAAATAGCATGTACCAAAACCTTATTATATGTGTTTTTGTTAAGTCATCCATAATTAGGGTAATTAAGTACGGGCTCAACTCTCAAGGCAGATCTCTAGTGTAAACTCAGAGTCATGACTCCTTTGTTTCTCCTTTCGCAGTTCTAACATTTGTAACTGCTCTTTCATACATGTCCTTTGTGAGATATTAATATTTTATGTGTTTTTTTCTTCTCATACACCCACCCAAAAGACTTTTCCTGACACTCTATCATACCCTTTTCTAGGTCAATTCTATATCATTTCCCTCTCCCTCTAAAGTTACTTCTATCTTAGATCTATTGCTGGTGAATCCAAACTGGTTTCACCTTTGTAATATCCCCAAGTCTATATTCTATAACTTTATTCCAAAGATCTATCATATGATGCAAAGTTCAATATTATGATAATTAGAACAAACTTAACTATCCCTTGTTCTTATATGCTGGAACAAACTTTTCTTCTCCTTGTCTTTATAATTTATAAATGATGCAAAGCTCTAGGGAATTTTTGGAAAAACCTGGGGTCTCTGTGTCTTCAAGTGTTGATACATAATAGAATTAAATAATTAAAAATGTGCTCTCATTAATGGCTTAAGCTTTTAGATGAGATGATTACACATTTCAGCGTCAAGCTTGAAGCAATTTATTAAGTTCTCGGCTTCTCCTTTAGTCTTTCCTCAATGATTTTTAATTGTCTTTCGTCTTTCTTAGCCAACCTATCTGTCATTTTAAAAATAATAATAATTCTAACAGGATATATCAAGATGCCTTCTCTGGACTCAGAGGCATCATCAAACATGGCCACCTATTCGGACTGATGCCCTGTCAAAGCCTGTAGATTTGCTGCTGCTTAACAGACTTAAGGAGTCCTACTGTCAGATCAAAGTGAGTTCCCTAATATGTAGAAAAATACAAATTGAAGGTTTTTAACATTTATATGCTAGAAACACGTATAGCCCATTACTGGATATTCCTCAGTTTGGTAATCAATATATGAAGCTGGGAATGTATATCCAATGTGTCCTTGGGATGAATTGAGACAATTATTGGATAATGTTCAGTCTATTTGTTTGATTTATCACTTTCTATTGTAATCTACCACACTGTTTATAATAACTCTTGATCAATATGATGCATCCTTACATGAACACCTAAATGCATGTTTAATTTATTCCACTGTCCAGGAGGGGGAAGTAGAAGCTGTTGCTATGATACATTCATATGAAGATGGAATGCAACCTGGATCTCATAAGACTAGGCTGACTGCTCTTAATGTATACCTCTTAACCTCAAAATCTTCTTGTATTTATTTTGCTTTTGTTAATGCCATTTGCTTAACTTTCACATTCTAACTCTTCGAAGATAAATTCTGCTTATGCCTCATAATTTTCTGGGGCAACATTTTCAATGCAATATATCACAAGGTTACTGCTTACAAGGGAGTGCAGCTAGTGTTTTTTGTCATGGTTTGACAACTTGAATTGTCTAATCCAGAAAAGTTATTTATTAATCATAATTCAATGAAAATCCAAAATTAAAATTCAAAAGAAAGAGGCAGATTTGGTACTTGCTGATAAAGATGAAACCTTGAATTGACAAGGGTTGATATTAGTGCTTGATAGTTTGCTAATACAGGTTCCCCCAATGGGTTTATTTTACCCAATGCTTTTGGTTCCAGATGTCTATCCTCCGCCACCCCGCTCTTGGTAAGTTAAATATATATGATGTCACTAAATCCTTTCTCCCTCCGTCTGTGCTCAGTTATTGCATCTAAATAGGTTTAACGATTATGATGATATGCTTGAGGACACATGGCACATGGACTTCCCTGGTGGTGGTGCATATCCGATGTGGGAGAGCTACCCAGTTTTCCAAACAAAGCCAAAGAAAGAAGATATTATTGGACTTGCTGAAGCTATTACAAAGAGCATTCTTTTGACAGGTGATAATAGTAATCTATTCTATAATGTGGTAGACTTTGGATATACTCTTTCTGAGCCTTGTTTCTTACAATTGACAGGGCGTATTGAGCTACAGAGAAAGTTGTTTTGCAGCATGCAACTGGTTAGTTGTTTAAGGCATTTAACCTATAGTTATTGTCATGTGGTTTGAAGCGTGATATTTTTCAACTCTTCAGATTGGTGGAGCTGCATTGATTTATGGTCTCATTCCTGCTGTGGAGGAAAGGTTTGTTTCAAGTCTAGTTTTTCCTGAATTTAAACAGAAAAAGAAAACAATGCCCCTGTTGCTAGAAGTTGGACATAATTATGTATACATATCATCAATGAATATTCCACTCTCTGTTTAGAAGATTTTTAAAGCATAATTAGGCGACTGCATTTTGGCATGTTATCAGGGAAGTGCTAATAAGTAGAATGTTCAAAATTTTCTAAGCTATAGAAATGGTTTAGGAGATCAGTATGCTTTGATGTTTTTTGTTGCTAACAAAATAGTATGCTTTTATGCTAACTGCTCACTTTCGTATCCAGAGTTTTACATGCAATCCCTTCACATGAAGCAATTGACACTGTGGAGGTAAGTTTTGAGCTTTTGATTTCTTTCTATTCTAGTTGTTATGTCATTCTTCAATATGCATTTGCTGACAATCTTGTGTACATTATATCTTCTCTTTGCCAAATGCATAATCCGGCTTCTTAATTTAATCAAATAAATTTATATCAGTCCTGCCCCGTTACCATCCCAAGGTTTCATTATATGTTTGGCCTTCTCAAATATTAAATATATCCTTCAGATGCTTAGATTGTTTTCAGCATGCTGAAGACCATAAAAGGGGAAAACAAATTGAAAAGGGAAAGGAGAATCCAAAAATAAATATATGAGAGTTCCTTGGTATTTCCTTAGGAAACATACACGTCTCTTGCTCTCACTTGTTGATGAGTACAAATTATTTGATAAGCATCACATACTAATAATGCCTTTTAAGTATAAAAAATTATTTTATAAATAAGTAATTATGTGTTGGAGGGGGCATATCGGTTGAAGTAGATTCTTCTTTTGATCAATCCTTATGTACAAAAGCCCCAAATTCTTACTGCTTTATGGCTATATTGAGTCTAAAACATCAATTATAGAGACAGTATCATTTGAGTATAACTGATTACACCAAAAACATAATAGCAAAATGCAGTTGAGCTTCACTTTCTGCACACTGTTTTCTATGCTCTCAAAACACCTAGAGTTCCTCTCTTTCCATATTGCCCACCATATTGAAGCAGGGATAAGTCTCCATCTGCCTCTGTCTTTTGCCAGTACTCCTGCTTCCTCCCAGCTCTTTAAAGCCTCAGAAACTTTCCCAGGCATTGTCCAGGAGATGCCTTTGTGACTCAAAAAAATCCTCCATAATTGTTGAGTGTACTTGCAGTGTAGAAACAGATGATTCACATTCTCTAAAGTCTCCCCACAGAGAAAGCATCTAGAGCATAAGGTTATCCCTCTCTTCATGACATTGTCTTGAGTAAGAGTTGCTTCCTTGGCAAACAACCAGACAAAGCAAGATACTTTGTAGGGTATTCTTCTTTTCCATATTTGTTTCCATGGCCAATTTTTAATTTGTTGGTTTGTCTGATCCATTAGCTTATAAGCTCTATTAACTTTGTATACTCCTCTATTGTTAATTCTAATTGATTCAACTACAAATTAACTTATGTATCAATTTACTCTAAATTGATTTGATAGGATTGTTTTTAATAAATGTAAATTATTTTATGATAAATGCAATAGACCTAAGCACAAAAGAGAGAAGAACAAATGGTGAAAATGGAATGAAGAGGGAGTTAGGTGTTTTCTATGAAAAGGGTATTTTGAGGTTTAAAAAGTATTAGGGATTAAATAGTTGTCACGATAGAGCAATCTATTTAAGATTTATATTTGGAATGAATGGATAAAAGACAAATTCTTAAGTGTTTTTTGTTCTGTTTCGGATTCATATAGTCGACACCAACTTGCACGGATATGAAGCGTAGTGATTGTCGTTGTTGCCATTTTTTCCCCGTATGTCGATTCCTTCGTCAACTAATCCAACTTGTTGAAATACACATGTAAAATGGACCATGTGTGGGTAATATTTGGAATGGAACTTTGAAGAATCTTGGCTCAAATAGGTGCAATAGAAACTATTGTGTTTGGGTACCCATCCTTTTTTGGGGCCCTTACTGTCCTTGCAGACTTGCATCATTTTGTTTTCTTCTCATCTTTTATTCTCTTTTTATATAGTAAGTTGCTGTCAAGAATTTACATTTACGTTTGTATGTACATATATTAGGTCTTGCAATCGAGAACAAATCCAGCATTTGTGTCGTGGAAAGGCGGAGCAGTAAGTAGACACTATTTTTATTAGAGGTTCTGCTTAGTTTCCATCACACTATTTTTTAACGGCTAAATCCTACATTCTGGTAATATGGCTTTGATACAATTTAGGGCTTTGTATTATAAGTTATTATAAGGAGGTGGTAAATAATAAGCAGCCAAGGTACCTCTCACACCACAATTATAAAAGGAATAAAAGGAGTTGATAAATAATAACTATTTATTATAGCATTACCTGAAGTGTGTTTTTGTCACAAATGAAATAAATGGCACTGAAGAGTCTGAACAGCGTAATGGGGCTGCTAATCGCATCAACTGACCTGTAAGACTCCACTACAGTGCTTAAAGAACAGTTGATGCTACAGATTATTGTTGCGTTGAACCTATTTTGGTGCATAATTTATGAATAACATCTCAATTCAAGATCTTAAAAGGGACAATCATTGTATTGTGTTGTGCTTTTTGTTTAATAATCTTAGTTCCTGAAGAATACTAAATGGTACACTATTACAGTTGGTAGAATTCTTCTTTCCAATAACCACCAGCTCAATTTGAGATTGCTATATCCAGGATTGTACTTATCTTGTTAAGACGATTTTCTTTTAATGATGCATAAGGTGATACCTGTTCAACCAAATCTTGTACCATGCTTCACTTTTAAGTTTGTATGAGACTCTATAGAGTATCACTTCTATGCACTGCAGATCCTCGGAATTCTTGATATTAGTAGGGAGGCCTGGATTCATCGTGAGGACTGGATTAAAAATGGAATTCACATTGGCAGTGGGAGAAAGCACAAGGATTCATGTTATCTTCAAGCACAGGCAATGTGCTATCTGAATTCATAAGAGGTACAAATAAGTGTTACTCTAATTTATCTATGTTCATTTTCAACTCAGGTTTTATACGTTTGCTTTTATTTTTGCTTCAGATAAGTGGGAAGGGTAAGGGATGAGTTGGGGGATTAATCTAGAACTGACGAGGGAATTGAACGGTTATGATTATTATCTTTCCTTTTCATCCTGTCAAGACATAATTCTTGTCCTTGCCTTCTGATTTCTTGTTATTGTTATAGTGCTGGACTGCTTTGGGAGGGGGGGGGGGGGGGGGGGGGGAAGGGGGAGAGAGAGGAGCGTATGCTTTCATACTGTGGTAATTGCAGGAGAGATTTTGAGAGATCACACTGGGAAGTATAAAACCGAACTAGTTTTGGTCATCAATATTTTGTGTCATGCACGAGTATTCAGAATTGTTCAAGATGGAAGAAACATGCAAGGAGAATGTGTAGAGACATACATCTAGACAACACGATCACCATTTATACACATTATTATTTCATTTCAATCAATAAGTAAGCAGTAAATATTTTACTTATGTCGTAAATGCTTCATCTCCTCTCTGCTTCTTCTTGTTTTTTCTTCTTTTGCTCAGTTGGATGTTCTTAGAGGTGGGACAAATATGTCGAGTACACGCCCACTGGGTCATACAGTAACCTTGAAACATATGCATGCTTTCCGTAGGTCATGCAATGTTATTACTATTAACATTTCTCTTTCAATTCCTTTATTCTTCCTCTTTCTGCAGGGTTATGAGATTTGATAAAGATCGAAACTGGAGCTTGCTAGCTTATCTTGAAGACAAAAGAACTGTAGGCCTCCCTCTGGACTCATGTGGTAGCCCTTGTGAACGACGATTCGATAATCCTGAAACCTGAAAAATTATTCAAGAATTATCACTGAGCAAGGCCAATCTGAAGTACATCCTAATTTCTAGGAAACTTAAGTCACAGTATAGGGTTAACTAATCTTGGTATTCTAACTTATTTAAGACTATTTTATTCTCAACTTTGTGGAATTTTCATAGAATTGGTTTGCTAGCTGACCCTCGATGTGAATAATTAACTTGGGGGGAATTTAATTAGTCAAATAAAAATATGATTATCGTGTTATATTCAAAATTAAACCATGCAGGAAGAGCCAAGCAGTCATCGAAATTCGGCGCATTGGTCAAAAACTGAACAGTTCGATGACCTTTTCGTTGGTCTAAGTTATAAACATTGAGAAACATAATCTTTCACATGACCCTTATTTTTAATTATGACCTTTGGTTGATATAACCATTCTCACTGAAATGGTCAGAAACTTTCTAATTTTTTTATATGAAAATATTATTATTATTTTCTTTTTCACCTATCAATTAAAACATCTGTGAAAATAACTAATGAATTTTTTTTCAGGGAAATTTTAGAGGGAAAATAGTGATTCTTTTCAATAGTGTAGATGCTCATCGAAGCTTTCTATTGTTACCGTATGAAGATGCCACTATTTTTTTTTCCCTCACGTTCAATCAAAATATCGGTGGGAATAACTATCAAACATTTTTCAGTGGTAAATTTCAATGGAAAACTAGTGATCTTTTAATAGTGATAATGATATTGAGGGGTTAAAATGGTCATTTTAATATTTTCAAAATATTAGTTGGTGCACCAAAAATAAAAATGGTTACAAATTAATCCTAGCAAGGAAGTAATTAATCAAGAATCAATAAACTTCTACTTAACTTTGATTTAATTGTTATGGAAGACATTGCCTGTCAATTATTACAGATTAAATTGTGATATTTCAATTAGTAAAGTGTCAGGGAGCCCTAGAGTAACTGGTAAAGTTATTGTTATGTGATTAGGAGGTTATGAATTCAAGTCATGGAACAACTTTCAGTAAAAATTAGAGTAAGATTACGTACAATAAACCTATACAACTCGATTTATTTATTTTTTGGCATATTTGGTTGATCTATTGTGAATTGCTTAAAACATAAATTAAGAGAAAAAAAAGAGAAGAAAATATGCTATAAGGATTAAAGGGTGTGGATAAATTATTTTAGTGGAGTCAAAAATGCTCTTGAAAATCTTGTAAAGTTATAAAAACTAGTGTTAGGGGTTGATTGATTCCTTCTTTTGTCTATGCTTTTGTATTGGGTCTTTGCTTGAGTCCATTCATTTGTGTATATTCTTTTTTCTTTTTTCTTTTTTGTCAAAGGTGGTTTAACTATGACCCACCATGGACACTTTGACTAGGGCACATGAAGAATATTTAGAAATTATGTTTGTTCTTAACTGATGTACTAATTAAGTGATCTTTTTGTTCCTAGATAAGGTTGAATAAGTTCGAGATTAAATTTATATTTTGTTTGATTAAAGATTTCTTATCGAAGACTCTGATAGCTGAAAACGTCTTTTTCTTATTTTAATCTATTAATTCTCCGTCTTTTCTTAGCTCGACACCTACATTAAGCTCCTCTTTTTTGTTCTTGTTGTCTTGCGAAATAAATTAGTTCAACTGTTATAATTTCATAACTATAATTTCGAAATAACTTAGTTAGGTAACCAAACAATCTCTGTGAGATTTTTGGTTGCATAAGGTAATATTTGGAAAAAAGAATCACTTTAATGGTAATAAATATATTTTGGGTACCTTTTCATATAGGAAAGCATAAAATTTAGCATTTTGCCTGCATACAAAATATTTGTATAAAGTTAGGTTAGAATTTATCTCATGATATGAAGTATGAAATAAGAATAAAGAATTGGTAAACACAGATTAAAATGTTCAATTTGGTTTATTATTTTTATTGCCTGCATACAAAATATTTGTATAAAGTTAGGTAAGAATTTATCTCATGATATATGAATAAGAATAAAAGTAGTAGTAAACACGGATTAAAGATCAAAATTAAATTGATTTAGTAAACACGGATTAAAAGATCAAAATCAACATCAGGATGGTTTGTATGAGTCTTATCCCGACCTTTTATCAGAGTAAATATTGAGAGGTTGTTTTTTTATAAATTTCCAATTCAAATAAAATATAGCAAAATAAGAAGGAAAAGAGAATATTTCAGGAACAAAATAAAATAGCACCAACAAATATTACGATATGAAAGAAAAGGGGAATAATAATAGGCTATAATAAAAATTCAAAAAAAAATAAAATACTAATACCATTGATTAGGGAAACTCTATAGCACAATTACCTATTAACCTGTTCTTGATCCCTGATCACTATATTTTTTCATCTAGAGTCGTGTCATCGATAACTTATATGTGTTTTAAGTTACGTCTAATCACTTCACCATATATACTTTTTTGATCTTTCTCTACCTCTCCTTAGACCCACCAAACTCAACATCTCACATCTCCAAGTAAAGCATCTAAATATGTCCTCGTCACATATCTAAATCATGTGAGATTCAATCTCACTTTTCTTAATTTATCCTCCACAGAGGCAATATCCACCTCGTCCTGAATATCTTCATAATTTCTAATCTTGTTTCGCCTAGCTAGTATACCAATAGATCCATTTCAAATCCCCATATTCAGTGCGAGTTCTTAACTAATCGATACTATGAATATATAACTAATCGAGCAACCACTTTATTAATTCCGTAAATTGCTAATTTTACATCATTGTTCCCATATTGCTTTACAATATAATCTTAATTAGTAGTAATTTATGTATAACTTGTCTCTAAATCAAACAATCTCTTAAGTGTAATTTATATTCTCAAGTCTTTTTATCTACGAATTTACGGAAACTCATAACTTAAAACTATATCCAAAAAAATTCAAATTAATTTAAAATATTTACCATAAAAATGCATAATTTCAAAATTTTAAAGTTATCTCAACACTCTTTATTGTAATATTCTATTTATTATAAAATTACTACTTCATATTTGATTAAAAACGAAAAAGTCTCATTCATCCTACCACACTTGTGGGCGATATCCTCGAAAGGAACGTTAAAAACGATCCAAAGTTTGAAATGTGTGACAGCACAATCAGACAATGAAGATAACTCGATATCTCCGACCCAAACGTGCATTGATCTTTTTAAGGATTAAAAATAGCCACGTAAGTCTAATCATAGCCGTTAATTGTTACATCATTTGTCAGAAAATGAACGATGATGATGTGGTTTCACGTGCGGGTAAAAATTCATTACTTAACGGCTGGATAATATGTAATACTGTGCAATAATTTTTTACAATTTCTTCAAACCTCTATTTTTCGGATGAACGCTTTATGGTAATTAGTTAATTGTGTAATAATTTTTACTTATTAAATCACATAAAAAAAGTAAGTCGTATTATTAAGCTTCATGCTATGAGCTTATGACTGAGTAGCCGATGAGGGTTGGATTTGATCCAAGGTCTTTTATCCACTTCTCAGACAGAGCCAGAGCCAGAATTAGGAGTTTGAGGTTCTAAATTTTAAAATAAAAAAGAAAGGTGTTCGAACCCAGAAGAAATGTGTGGAAAGTATTTTCACCGCTCTTCCTTATCACTGAACTGTCAATTAATTTTATTAGGGGGTTCACAAGTTAATATGCATATATATTTATTTAATTTTTTAAAACAAATACAAATTTTACGGGAAAGCTAGTGGGTTCGTCCGAGCACATGAACCCTCACCTAGCTCCGCCTCTGCTCCCAACTACTCAACTATCACTATAATAAAGATAACTTTTAATGATAATAAATATGTATATTAATAAAAGGTAAGAAAATCTTTATTGTCATTGAATTTAATGTCATATTTCAGGACATTTACAAAGAGGGATAATATTCTCTAAAAAATATATTTAGTTTAATTAAGCTATTATTGTTAATTAATTGCGGTTGGTTAAGAGGTGTTTTTACTTCTAACTTGTAAAAGTGTTTTCACTTATTTTATGAGACAAATTGGTATAGGATTTGCCAATAATAGAAAGAGTGACGTTGGGTTAAAGGATTCAGTCAGCTATGTAACGCTTTTGACCAAGTGATGATGAGTTTTTTTTTATTTTTAATTTACTATATAGTATATACTATAAAAATATCAGTCTTTTTGCTTAACTTGCTTAGACGTGAGCTCGGCTTAGAATGTCAATTAATCTATATTTTAATTTATGTGGCATATTTTAATTGACTATTAAATTTATGAAATATAAAAGAATATTTTATAATGTTTTAAAACTATCTTTTAAAAAAATATTTTAATATATTTAAATTAGGATATTTATAAATCAGGACTTATATATATAAATTATAACACTTCATTAATACAAACGTTAGAATAAGTTGTATCACACCATTTTAATGTATAATTTTTCAAAAACTTTACGTGAACATCTCAAATATTTCATTCACCAAACTACCCATTGCAATTTATATCATCTATTCATGTGCTCATGGTATCAACAAACTTATTTTTCCTATTATGCTAATATCTTTTTTGGTATACAATTTCCTACTATCCTATTTATAATATACAATGACAAGTATCCTCTTATTACGTAATTTATTCTCAAGGAATCAAATCTTTAAGGCAATAATAATGTATTTGACATTTTCCTAAAAATATTTTTAGAAGATAACCAATAAAACGTTAAGTTATGAGTCAAATTTTATCATAACAATTAAACTTAGTTTTATAAAATATGGAATTTTAATGTTTAAATGATTATTTAATTAATTTAATGAGAGAAGTATTGAAAACACTTCTAAACTTAATAAAAAAATATTAGTTTTGTCCCTAAATTGTTGACAGCCTTAAAAATACTCATATACTTGACTAACTAAATTTAGATATACACGCCCGATCTGCAACATGACATAATAAGTAGTCTCAAACTCTTGTAGGAGCATAAGATTCTTAACTGAAGTCATGAGAAGTGATAAAAAAAATTAAACGTGACCAGAATTTAGGGGTGTATTTCACTCATGTTACAAGATCAGATGTGTAATTAAGTTTAATCAGTCAAATTAAGAGGTGTTTTTAAGGCTATCAATAATTTGAGAATGAAATTATGTTTACACCGAATTTAGGGGTATTTTCAATACTTTTTTCAAATTTAAATTCCATGTTAAATAAAACTTACATTTCGAGTTAACATGATTCATAATCACGATCTTAAGATAAT